AAAAAAAAAAAAAAAAGACTGACACTTGGAGGATCCTCCCGGATGCCTTCTCCAAGAAGTCCCCAGCCCAACCCAGGGACTCTCACTTATCCTAAGCACCCCAGCCTGCCTGTCCATGCCACACACTATATACTGCCAGGCCTTCCTAGGTGGACATTTAGTGAGTACCTACTATGCGTCCAACAGAGAGGGGAGGTAGAAGTGAGCACAGTGTGGACTTTAAAGCTCTGCCACACACTGCCCCATGTCTGAGCAACCATGTGTCTGCCCCATGGCAGGTAAACACACCTAGGTACGAGGGCTGATGGCAGCCAGGTGATGGGGTCGGGGAGGAGGCACAAAGACTGATGCTGGTAGGTGGTGTGGTGAGGGCAGTGCTGGAGAGAAAGTAGGAGGCCATGGTGGGACAGAGCAGCAACCCCTGATTCAGCCCAGAGTAGGAGGGAGGGGCAAGTTGGGGAGCTTCCAGGAGGAAACATATCTAATCTGAGAGTTAAGGGATGAACTAGGAGAAAGTTCTGGACAGAGAGGAGTGAATGGCACACGTGAAGCCTTGCTGGTGACAGACAGAGGGAAGGAAGTGTGGTTCTGTAGTTCTGTGTAGCTGGATCCTGGACTGCCAGGGTGGCCGAGTCCTAGGGTGGGATCTGGTGTGTGTGTGTGTGTGTGTGTGTGTGTGAAGCTGGTGACAAGGCTGGTGATGTCTGCAGGGGCCAAATTGTGCAGGACTCCCAAGTGAAGGGATTTATGGACTTTTTCCAGAAGGAACTGGGCACTAGGTGGGGAGTTGAAAGCAGGGCAGGGACTGCTCAGACCTGCTTATTAGGAAACCTGGGCCATGGCTGGAGAGCACACGGAAGGGGTGCGGCAGGAGGCTGGGCTGGCCTTGCTGGAGGCTGGTGCAGTGTGGTCCAGAGAAGGGCGAGGAGGCATGGGCAGGAAGATGGCCAGGATGGAGGGGAGGAGACAGACCTTCGAGGGGTGAAGAGGGAGCCGCTCAGCTATGGAGGTAGAAAGAGAGGGAGCACCTCCCTGCATGTCTGGTTGGGCTCCTGAGGGAAGACTGGGCGTGAGGGCAGATGCCTGGGCCTGTGTCAGGGTCCTCTAAGGACTGAAAGGTCTCAGGAAGGTCTCCCAGGTCAGGAGCTTGGAGGCTAAGCAGAGACCAGGAGACCTGGCCCCCACTCAGAGCTGCAGCATCCTCTCCAGGAGTGTGGGGACTCGGGAACTGCCCTGGGCAAAGAGTGTTCAGAATTCAAAAATTAAAACAATCTGTGAAACGTAATATTTAATAAAATTCAAATCCAAAACTGTATGAGCACATTCCAAAATGAGTTAAAATGTAAATTTATGAAAATGTTAAACATACTTGATGGTTCTAATATCAAATGTAGGTCTCATTTGCTTCCCTCCACTTCAGATCAGACTCCCCTGAAGCTGCTGCTGCCTCAGGGGTGGCCAACAGCCCCCCCTTCCCTCCCCCCCTCCCCCCAGGCTCCCAGTCTTGAGTTCAAGGCACCTCCTCTAGGGAGCCCGCCCTCTGGCTGTTAGCTTCAGGTGGCAGGCCTTTTGCTTTTCCTGTCCTCCACCCTGAGGGAGTTGGCCCCATCTGTGGTTGTCTTTATTTAGGGGGCCCAGGTGTAGACCTAGAGGAGGGATGGGTGAGAGAGTTGCACCCAGATTGGAGGAGGGTGAGGGGGCTGAGAGATACTCAGCTACAGTGCTCAGTGGGGGTGGTGTGGGGACACAGGAGGACTGGGGGAGGGCCAGGAGGGGGCATGAGGGGAAGTGAGCAAAACTCACAGAGCGGCCCCACTCCAGCATAAACACAGCTATTTCCTAATGTAAAAGTGACACCATTTCTGGAACACCCGAATGTTGTGGTCCCGTTTTGCCATCTCAGGAGTGGGCATTGCTTGGCTTGCACTCTCCGGTCATCTGGCACGAGGCCATTTTCTGGGCTGCGTTTTCTCACGGCGGGTGGGGGCGGGGAGCGGGAAGAAGGAAGTAGGGGTAGTATCTCCAAGGAGTGTATGAGCACCAGCTCTAGGGATGCATGACTCTAAGAATCCGGCAGTGTCAGTTTGTGGGCTTCTAGCCTTCCATGACTCTTAGCTTCCAGACAGAGCTGTGTGCAAGCTGGGTTGTGCGATTCCGACATTCTGCAACTTGAAGTTGCTGAGACTCCAGGAGCCAAATAGGCGGGCATTCTGTGAATCCAGGATTCTAGGATTTGATGACTTGATGATTCAATGATTCTAAATGGGGCTGCTGGGAAGAGCTGCAACCACCTTCCTTGTTAATGTCGATGTTAGGTTATTAAAAACATAAGGAGAAGCAACGGAGACAGCTCAGGATGGAGGGTGGCCCCACCCCCAGTGAGAGGGGAGGAGGGCTGAGCCGGTGTTGGGGGACCCAGACCCCTCTCCACCTGGGTCACATGGGCAGATTCTCCTGCCCCAACAGAAGTGATGTCTGTGCACGTGTGAGATCTGCCACTCCCTAAGCTTGCAGGATAAGGGGTCATTTCCTTCATCCCCCTGCCTCCATCCTTCAACTATTTCTGATTATAGCAGAGAGAGGAGTGCCCATTCCTCCCAGCCACTAAAGTCTCTGGGCAGAAATGTCGACAGACAGAGGAGGAAAGAGAGGCCTGCTTACCACCTACCCCCCTTCCCCACCAACCCTGGCCTGAGGGGGAAAACAGGACATGAACACTTCCTGGACACGGACGTGGAAATGCACGAACACTTGCTTGTGAGGGCCCCAAGTACAAAGGGCCTCCAACTGGGGCAGAGGCCAGGGCAGCCAGAGGAGCAGTGTGGGCATTGGCTGGTGACCCATCAGCACCTCTTGAGCACAGGCCAAGGAGGGAGGACCCTGCTTGTGCCCTGGAGGTGGCTATGAGAAGAGCTTAAGGAAGGGAGGTCCCAGGCCAAGTCGCCTGGAGATGGATGACCAGTGGGTGCTCCCTTGTGGCTCAGGCCGGGCGGCTTGCTGCCTCTTGGCTTCTGCACTTGTCTCAGCACCTGTGCCAGAGTTGGGTGGGGGGGGATCCCCTAGGCAGGAGAGAAGTATCTTTGGCCTCTAGAGAGCTCGCTCCGACTGGGTTCCTCAGAAGCCTGGTGCCGCTGCAGGAGTCCCAGCATGGTGGGCTCAAAGATCAGGTGAGGGAGACCAGGAGCTGGCCCAGGTCGCACAGCAGAGCAGGACCTGAAACCCAGCTTCCTGACTCCCAGTCCTGGGTGCTCCCCATTGTCTGCAGCTTCCCCCTTTCCCCCGTAACTCCTGAGGCAGGACTCCTGTTAGGGGGCAGAGCCCTTGTCGATCACTCCTCCATCTTTCTCCTCCCACAGGCCAGAAGGCAGGTAGGGTGGCTGCAGCTGCTCCCTGTCATCCCCAAGGTTCCATTGTCTACCGCATCCTGTCTTGGCCCTGAGGATAGGGTCCCCAGCCACCCGACCCACAGTGAGCCTCCTGGGCGCTCCTGCCCCTTCACTCGGGCTCTCCCCCCACCCTGCAAGTCTCCATCTCTGGCTGGCTGCGTGTGTGTGTCAGCCTCCCTCCAAAGATCGTTAGACTTGGACGGGCCCTAGGAGATCGAGTCCCATGCTTTTATTCTTCAGAAGAGGAAAGTAGCTCAGAGAAGGAAGGTCCTATGCTGGGCCCGCGTCACAGAAGCACACTGCCCTCGGTGTCAGGCGGCTAGGGTGTGAACTGAGGTCATGACCCACAACAGGCTTCTCTTTCAGCCCTGAGTTGTCATCCCTCTTCTTTATTCAGACTACTGTCTTGTCTGCCCCTGTGCCTGCCGCCTAGCTGACCCCTACCTTGGGCAGAACCTGCCCTCGGGACATAGACTGGAGCTCAGGACTCCGTGACTGGGATGACAGCCATGCCCACACGGACACACAGACACGTGCAAGTGCATACATGAGAACATATAAGTCCCGGGTGAAAACCTATATCTCATAGTTAGGAGGCTGTTCTGGAACCTGGTGTTCTCTTCTTGTGAGGCACCACACACCTCCTCTAGGAAGCCCTCCAGGACCTCTCTGCATATTGTCTCCATCTCACTAGCCTCTTTATGACAGCTGGGTTCTACGATCCTAGGTTCCTCCACTGTGATCCCAAGGTCATGGGTGAGTCTCCTCCTAGTCCTAAAGCCCCTCCTTCAGTGTCCCTTCCTTCTGTCTCCAAGAGGGGCTCAGCTTCCTGTGGCTGGGTGGGGAGAGCCTTGTGGTCCCCAGAGGACAGTGGGACAATGAGGAGGCCGTGACAGATGAGACATTGTGTCTTCCCCAAAGCAGGCTCCACCCTACCCTAACCTCCTGGCTGGTGTCTGGGGCACAACTCTTAGGACTAGGGTCCTCGTCTGACCCCACAGCCTTGACCTGTCAGCGTAGAGGTCAGAGAATCATAACCACGATCCCACTCAGCAGTTCTCTAACTGGAGGTTGTGAAGCCCAGGTCCCCAGGGTGTCGGCAGCATAATAATGGGTGCTGCAGACTCCCAGGAGGGGTGAGCTGGACCTCCCTGACCGGGGAGTAGGCAGGGGTGTGGTAAACACTGAGGCTGGGTGGGATTATGGAGGAGCTGTGAATGCCTTGCTGAGACCCCCCCCTTTCCAGGCTACCTTCCCCATGCTGGCAGCTGGTGCTGGGGAGCCAGAGAGCAGGGGCCTCTCCAGGGAGGGGTAGAGAGGCGGGAGAGTATTTGGAGAATCACAACTAGCACTGCCTCCTGTCACGGGAGGGAGAGAGAGTTGGCCCAGGGTAATACAGCGGGTGGACCATCGGAGGCCTGGGTGGAAAAGAAGGCTGAGGCCTTTGGACAAAAGGGATGGGCTTGGGGTTAGGTATTTAGCTCAGCCCTTGTCATTTCCTCTGCCGGACATGGCCGGGTTAGCAGGGTCATCGCACAGAGGGAAGGAACAGGCCGGGACCAATGCCCTACAGTAGACTCGCACACATGGGTGACCTCGTCACACCCTGGGCTGCAGTCAGTCCGTGCGGAC